TATTTTTTTATAAATATCTATCTATATCAGTGTCTTTATCTTTATTTCATTGTTACTTTAAGACTCTCTGTTGAAGAATTTTATGCAGAACTTGTTGAAATAGTTGTGGTCGCATTATATTCATTTCCCAATAGCCTTTGTATAGGAAGAGTTCCCTTCCCAGTGCTTCCTCTCTTGAAGCAAGAAGCCTTTTATCCAGAGTAATTATTACTCTGTAATTAAAACTCCAGATTAATTATTACTCTGGAGAAGTAATCATCCAGGAGTAACCCAGGATTAAGCAGCACATTGAGTGTGAGGCATATCAAAGTAGGCTTCTAGCCTCTCCAAATAATGATAAAAAATGACTGTAGGCAATGCTGATGCAGCCCCACTTTGTAACATAGGTACTTAGTGAGATAAAACCTTTTACCTGCCTGCAGAAAGAGAAAGAAGAAAGATTAGTCAGAGGCAACAAAATGTAAAGCAAAGAGCAAAAAAATGTGCAACTTGAAAAATATTAAATTAACAAATGAAGGACCCTAATAAATAACATGCATAGCTTGTAACTATTGTAGCATATAAACAAAGTCAACTAAGAATGCAAAATGGCCTACAATAGGCTCAGGAATATCTGTGCTATTAAATAATTACCCATAACATGATGAAATATGTAATAGCATACATAAACTGCCTAATAAGCTAGTAGCTTATCTGGAAATAATGCATAGAAACTCAAAATAATCTCTTGAGGGCTGAGTGCTGTTGAATAAAACTGTGGTTTCACTAAGGATTTTATTAGTTGTCGTCTCTACAGTTATGTATTTCACTGTGCTTTTGTTTTTCACTTGCCCAACAGCAGAGTGATGCTTTTTTATTCAACAATTTTGTTCTATCTCTGTAGCTTCTTTTGGCATACGTGTCTTTTCCAATATAAACTGACGTGGTTTATTCTTGTTTACGATTACTTTTCGGGTGCTGATTTGTAGCCTTTTATTTCAAAGGAGTAGAAGAGAGAGAAGCAGCAGTGTTAATAGGTTATATTTATATTTGATATACAAAGAGAAGTAGAAAAATCAACCAAAGAACTAAGCAAAATAATCTGGGAAAGTTATCTGTAAGGCCTTCAGTTGGCATTATTATCTCTTGCTGGGCCCACTGGAGTTCAATACTCCTACTAATTTTCTAATATAAGAGGTCAAAAACAGTGCACAGCTTTTAAACAGTGAGGTGCAGTGAAGTTTGTGATACTGCTGGTTTTGTGAAACCTCTCTGCATATGTCTTTATGTGGTCACATAGGAATCTCACTTTTTCCTTTAAAAACAAAACAGAAAGGTTTTCTGTCTTTCATGGTTTCTGGGAAACAACTTAGAAGTGCAAATGACTACAACTTCAGTTTCTGACTCAGATTCCAAACCAGAAATTCCCCAAATTCATTATCCATCATTGAATCCTGCTTTGTCAGAGTAGGAGATTAGTTTAAGTAATAAACCAAAACTGACAGTATCATTAGGCTTGTCATTAGTTACAACTGACAAAGCCAAGACACTGAGTTCCCAACCTGCACAAGAACAGATCATGCCGTTTTCAGTCCTGTGGACTGAGCAAATCATTAGAGGCATTGAAACCTCTGGAAAGTTGACTTAAAGAAAAAAATTATTGCAATTTTTGTGCTAGATCTTTCCACTGAAATCAAGAGGAGAAGTGAATGTTAGAAGATTAATCATCCCAGCAGTAGGCCAGTAGTGTCAAAATGGTGAATTACAGTATGCAGTGCAAGAGCAGAGGTCTCTAGAAATGTGTATGTACAATTATCAAAGCAAATGTGAAATTATATACATGTCCTCCTAAGGACATTGTCGCTGACATGAGTGGTTTACACATACAAGGAATAACAGTTTGTAACCGTTAGCTCTTTAATCAATGAACTAGAGGAAGACTATTTTTATGGAACTACTAGGACATATGGATGGATATATTTGAGCCGTCTACCTCTTTATTGTAGAGGGCACTAGTACATGCATATGTATTAAGTCTTTACAACATTTCAGACATAACACTCAATGGAAGCATTCCCATATAGGTACAAGTTGTATATTTGCAGGTAGCATTTAAAGTTTACACAAAGCTGAGGCAATGAAGATGCAGCCACCATCTCTACTGCAAACGTGTTACCTGTCTAGGAGACACTATCCAAAATTATTGTTTTAATTGGAAAGTGATTCAGTTTGAAAGCTCTTCACAGTGCAAAAATCCACAAATTCTGGTAAGGTTTTCAAAAGTTATAAAACACTGTGCAAAAAGCTCTTTTAAAAACCAGGGCATATTATTTCACTACCTACATACAGCATTAGGTTACTAAACTTAGTCTCTTTTACTGAAAGCTGTAATTTTTAAACTTTGTCAGAATTATTAGTTCTTCAAGAACTAATTTTGCATTCTGCACAGTGATTTTCAGCATTTAGTCTTTGAACTATTTTCTCTAAAGTATACCTAAAATTTTTACAAATAACTAGGAAAAGTAACTGTTATGAATTAGCTTAAATTTGCTACATAAAGGTCTTCATATGCATTGGAAATTTTTAGGGGTCTGGAAGTAAAAAGCAGGTTGAAAATTATCTAAGTAGTACATTCTTGATACTAAATAATATTTTCCATTGTCCATAGAGACAGTGATGTGGGGACTGTGTGGCTGCTTACCCCATTTAGTTCAGTATAACAAAGTAAATTTAGAAATACACCTTTCCCAAAGTCACCAAAAACATTATGTTAGTTAATGGCACATCAGTTTGAATGATACTCTCATATATATCCCTTCCCCTATTTATAGGATTATTTTGTGGGTTTTATCCCGATTCCCTAAGGAGATCAGTTGTTTCCATTCATCTTGTTTATTTATCTATTGGTTCTCCCCTAATAACTTTTAATGCCATTGGCCAATTTCTGCCAAATTTGACAGAGATATAAACATCTCAAGGATAATTGCATCCTTGCAAGATTTTTTAAGATTTAAATGTGGGGAGAGGAAAGACATAAATGAGTGTTCCTCTTGAGGGAGCTGAAATGTGCATGTTAAAACATCTTTCTGTTTGAGAGCAGCTCACTTGGTTATCAGCATGTGTGTACTGGCTCACCAATCAGTACATCTGTGACTCTACAGTAATTCCAGGATATGACGTCTTGGTGGGCAAGCCTGATTTACAGGACCTGGTCAGGGAGAGCTCAAATTATTGGGAAGTTGTGAGGGTGAAGGAGAGAGAGAAATATCTTTAGGAAATCAGTCACCTACTGCTCATGGAATAGCTTGTTTATTGCTTTCAGGGATGGTAAAGATTATGTAACTGTAGAAATGCAATACGCAATTACTAGTTCAGGTTGCATTAGCCAGCTTTTACTATGATGTTTGCTGATTTGGATACTTTCCTTTATACAGTTAGTACTGTACATGATAATATGTGAAGTAGGCCAAACCATAGCAACGTATGTTGTGATATCATTTGTCACTTTCATTTTCCATGTAATTTAACTATTTTTGTGGAAGTTTGTAATTCAGAGTGGTAACAGGTAACTGAACACTGGTGCATCGGTTTTTATGGGAAGCCATGAGTTGTTTTCACCCAGTTTAAAACAATAAGGATTGTTGGAAATTGATTAACACAATAGGAACCACTTTCTTTTAGGTTGGAGAACTCCAGTGAAAGTTGTGCCTGTGCTACCTGACCAAATTTTTGCATTTTGTATGGATCCCAATCTCAAGGCAAGTGTCTGGTGCTCTTCTTGTAATGACAAAAAACATATTTAATAATTTTGTTTCTAGTCTGCTTTCCATTTGACATACTTTTTGCAGTGAATACAGTAGTGTAGTGAAATAGGACTTTTTCATTTCTTCATCTACTAATATTGAAATAAGGGCGATATTTAAGGTAGCTGTATGGTAGGATGGCCAGATTTTAACGGCAGCCATCACTCCAATAATTTTCATTTTTTGTACTGTTACTCTGGTTAAGGCATTTAGACTGTAATGTGAGACATGCTACCAATGTCAGTTATGTGTAACTGAAGACAGAGTTAGAGTAAAAAAATACCAGAATGTACAAAAGATACCAAAACCTCATACTTGGTATAAATACTCATATATTTAATACTTAGTCATTGTCTTATTTGGTGCATGTCACAATCAAATAAGTAAATGAAATAGATCAGTGATTCCATAGTGAAAGTCTAGTGAAGTCTTTCCCATACTGAAAATGTAACTGCATCCATCATCCGTCTACACTGATGAGTCTATTCATAGTTATTAAAGTATTGCACATGCTTAAGTAGTTTGGAATAGAATAGAATAGAATAGAATAGAATAGAATAGGAATAGACTATTTCAGTTGGAAATGACCTACAATGGTCATCTAGTCCAACTGCCTGACCACTTCAGGGCTGACCAAAAGTTAAAGCGTGCTGTTGAGTACATTGTCCAAATGCCCTTTAAACACTGACAGGCTCGGGGCATCGACCACCTCTATAGGAAGCCTGTTCCAGTGTTTGACCACCTTCTCAGTAAGGAAATGCTTCCTAACATCCAGTCTAAACCTTCCCTGGTGCAACTTTGAACAATCCCCACACATCTTATCACTGGATTCCAGGGAGAAGAGATCAGCACCTCCGTCTCCACGTCCCCTCCTCAGGAAGCTGCAGAGAGCAATGGGGTCGCCTCTCAGCCTCTTTTTCTCCAAACTAGACAAGCCCAAAGTCCTCAGCCGCTCCTCACAGGACATGCCTTCCAGCCTTTTCACCACCTTTGTTGTCCTCCTCTGGGTGCATGCAAATAGCTTCACATCCTTCTTACATTGTGGGGCCCAGAGCTGCACACAGCACTCAAGGTGAGGCCGCACAGCGCTGAATACAGCGGGACGATCTCCTCTTTTGCCCGGCTGGTTACGCTGTGTTTGATGCACCCCAGGGTGCGGTTTGCCCTCTTGGCTGCCAGGGCGCAGGACTGGCTCATACTGAGCCTGCTCTTGACTGCTACCCCCAGATCCCTTTCTGCAGGGCTGCTCGCCAGCCACCCCTCTCCCAATTTATACTTGTGCCTGGCGTTACTCTGTCACAGGTGCAGAATCCAGCATTTCAACTTGTTAAATTTCATCCCATTAATCATTGCCCAATGCTCCAGCCTATCTAGATCCCTCTGCAAGGCATTTTGTCCCTCAAGAGAGTCAACAGCACCTCGCACTTTGGTATCATCAGCAAGCTTGCTAAGGGTACATTCAACTCCTGCACCCAGGTCATTGATAAATATATTGAACAGAACTGGCCCTGGAATGAAGCTCTGAGGAATACAATTTGTAATAATGAACATCATACAAATGCATCAGGCATATGTGAGGGACTGCAAATGCACTTTGCTATACTATTTTATAAGTAACATAACAAATGGAAAGCAACATTCCTGAGGAGTAAAGAGGCAAGGACATTCCATTAGTTTTCCAGCTTGTATTCACTATATTTAATTTTCCTTCCTGAGTAAAACTCCTCAGAAATAAATCCATCCTTAATCTCCAGTGCTGGCTGGTAAAGTATGTGAAATTGTATGTTTCACATTCTGATGCAAAAGACCACAGCAAACTAGGAAAATGCAGATACATACAGTTCACTCTTTAAGCAAGCAATCATAGTATCACATATGTTGATAGCATTGCTTTCTGCCATGTATTTGATTTCTCTTAGGAATCAAATGATCCTTCTGCAAGGTGGAGAGAAGAAAAAGCAAGGGACTATTTCTACAAGTCAAATACTCAAAAGTGAGACACCATTTCTTTTAAAAACAGTTTTTGCTTTTGCTTTGCTTCATTTTTTCATCTTCTTTTTGCTACTATGCACCTTTAGCAGGACATAAAAGAATACAAATAATTTTTCTATCAATCAGAACTTCTGTTGTTTTAGGGTTCATCTTACGAACTTTAGTTATCTAAAAGCTTACATCCAGTCTGTGCCTTTCGTCTCCACTTCCTCTGTAGGCAGTGAAGAGAAACTGGAGTTTCCAACAGGGCATTCTGCACATCTGTCTTCAACGCCTGTTACAAGCATGATATGACTGGTGTGTAATCTCTATTTATGTCCCGTCTCACTTCACTGATTATTCAAATTTAGACAAAATAAAGACATTGTCATTGTAAGTTTATTGGAAGATGAACTACCTCTTTCAATTAGTGAGTGAGAAAGTTTTAAAGATAAGCCTGTGAAAATGTAGCATAACTACTTGTTCCCCAACAATCAACATATAATTCCAGGCTTTTCATTTCCCTTTAAACTAGAAATATAAATCTTTGTTATTTTCTACATCCTCCTTTGTCACATAATACTTTATTATCTAGCTACCAATGTCATTCACTAATGATTATATGGGAACTTTTTTCTCTTCTTTTTTATTGTTGATCTAGAGCTTATGAAGAAGTTCCTTGGGATAATATATTACCTTCCAAAGTCCAGCCTCCAGAATCATGGAGGATTAATGGTTGGACTTGATGATCTTGAAGGTCCTTTCCAACCTAGTGTTTCTGTGATTCTGTGATTCTGTGATGTGATCAACAGTAGAAGCGTTGGCTGATCCTCTTTCCCAGTGTTTCACAAAAAGGAGATACTATCCTGAACCTGAAATAAGCCAAGTCAGTGAACATTTTCTTGGCAACTGGTTTTAGGTTTTGCTAATGAAATGCAGCCTAAATTTTGTGTAGGTCATACACATAAACCCACTGCAATATTTTCAAATAAAAACAGTTCCAAGTCATCAGCAGATTCCAGTGATTGCCTCAAATGATTTCATGTTTTTTCACTCCCCTCTAAACTGGTACAGAAGAAGATATGCATGCACAGTACCAAATGAGAAGATAAGCTTATTGATGAAAAATAGGTTGATAGGAATGATGCTGTAGCATAACAAATTTCACGTTAAGTTAGTTTACTCATGATTATTAACTGTAATAAATATTATTTTTATTAAACTAAAATTCAGTCCTGCAATTGGTTCCGATAGCTGCATGAAAATCTATTAAGCCAAATTCTTTAGGTAATGTTGCCTTACAAGAAGCATCTAATTATGATTTTAGGTTGTTGGAGGCTTCTGGGACAGATGTCAAACAAGATCTTTTACCTCTCCGAGGAGACCTGTTGATTTGTAAGTTACATTTTTTGTCAATATTGGGGTCCTCTGAACACTTCCTGTATGAAGTCTGCGTACAGTTAATTATTTCAGAAGACTAAATTCATCAACATTCTATAACTAAAGAAGTTAAGATATTCAATCAATAACTGTATGAAGAGTATACTCCAACATGCTTCTCATGTGAGAGTTAAATATAAAAAGCAGAACAGAAGAATCTGTAAAGTGAATGATTATCATGACTGCATACATCTGATGTTTTCATTGAGGCATGACATATATGAAAACACCACAGTAATCATACACATGTACAAACTCAAGGTTTTATCTGCTGGCTGTAGAATCCCAAACAATCTCAGATTGGTAAAGGGTGACAGGAGATTCAGAAGGGCTCAGATAAGAGCCAAGTAGACATGGGGAAGGAAAGGCTGGTCAAAGCAAGATAGGGAAGCTAGAACTTGCTGCCTTTCCAGGCCATCAGCCAGCAGGTTTGCTCAGGAAAACTCAATGGACAGGTGTGCTACTGGGCACAATCATGCATACAATGGGAGAGATAGGTACTTCTGCAGGGTGGAAGGAGATAGAAAACATCATTATGGTTTCTCGAATGTTTCTCTTTCAAAGGAATATAGACAAGATCAGTGAGAACAGCTTTCAGGGACAGACCAAGAGAGAAAGTCGGACATGATGTTAAATTTTCCCATGTTCTCAAGAATTGAATGAGAGAAGTAGAGAAGCAGTTTTTAAAAGAAACCTTGCTTCTATTATCCTAGGAAATTGACTGAAGTCCCAGTATCTGAGGATGAAGATTAAAAGACAAGATTCTGTCTGCTGAACTAGGTCATTTAACATATATGCCAATCTAATCATTACTACGGTCTTTTACCAAATTCAAATGAGCATTGCATCATTCCAAGAGCAAAACTTTGACTTGTCACTACCTCTCTTTTGAGACTTCATAAATATTCTATCAGAATTTTCTGTCTGGCAAAAAAAAAGATGATTGATCTATTTTGTCTTTAACAGGGTAAGCTGAAGCTCTTGAACCTGTCATATCCTTTGTACACATAAGTACAATGTCCCTGGGTCGTTTCTGCTTTCTACATTTTTATTAAGCCCAAGCAATCCACCTCTCATTTTCTAAAGCAAGAGTTGTAGACAGCCTATGTTATCTAATCTTAAGGTGTTTGCTGGAAAAAAGAAGAGCGTGTGCTGCGTCTCCTCTGCTTGCAGGTGGCTCTGTCCTTTTACCTGCAAATTAGAAATCCGGATCCAGTATGTTCTCTTTGGAAGAATACCCCAGTCTGTTTATGGGCATAGCCAAAAGGACAAGAGATGATACATTTCTATCCTATTTCCATTCTTCCCAAGCCTCCTCTCTGAACATATGAACTAGTGCTGCAAGTTCAGCAG